TGTGTGTGTGTGTGTGTGTGTGTGTGTGTGTGTGTGTGTGTGTGTGTAACTTATTATTTTACTATTTACTAACTGCCCACAGAAGTCCCGAGTTTGATTCCCGGACTGGGAGAAATATATTTCTAAATATTATGTATCTCGTAAATATGGGTGTAATTTGTTATTTTCTATGTATGTGTCCATGGCACCCATGGGGTTTTCCTAGTGCGAGGCAATGAGTGTGTTGTTTTCATTATTTACTGGTACAAATCAAATAATTTATTATCACCAAAAGCGTGAAGTCTATTCCGATAGACTATGGTCTTAAGTCCGAAGCCTAGTATACGCCGCGCCGCTGTGATTCCAGCTAATAGTATACGTTATAATTAAAATACATAAACACATAGATAGATAAAACATTGATTGCCTTGCCGCAAGCGCAAACAACAATATACAAAAGAATAAAGCTAAACAGTAACAAAGAGAAATTAAAATGGTACCAATCAGCGAAGCTGGTATAAAAATATTAATACGTAAGTACTGCATTTAACAAATGTTATTTCAATAAAGCACTAGAATACAGTGATGAACGCCTTAATAATTTTAAATTATTGTAATTTTTTGAAATTTTTGTTGAATGCCGCGATGTTTCACCATGATATTCAAATATTTTTGGAAGTTACTCCATTAGTTTGTTATAATTATTAATACAAAGATCGAACACTAAGAAAAAATTCCTCCGGCCCATCTGGATTCCAACCAGCTTCTTGTAGCAAACCATGCTCGACGCTATACCAACTAAGCCACGGAACGTTTACGGAATTTTCTATGCAGATCTTTGTTTTTATTAACCGACTTCTAACGAGGACTAAAATTTAGTATAATGAGCAATTATTTTAATGGTTGATTTCGCTATTCTTTAATTCAAGGTGTTTTTTCTCAATATACTTTGAGTAATGAGAACCGATTTTTATTATCCCAAGTATGTCAGTAAGTATGTCAAGTCCCGTATAGTGGCGAACTAGGGGACGAATCCGGGTTTGCGCACTTTCCGGTAACCGATTTCAATAAAACTTGGTAATTATATGTAATTCCACGTACTTTTGAGGTCGGTTTTTTAGTACTCTGTACTGAGATTATTTTTAACGACTTTCTTCCTATAATTTCAATTTGTTAATACAATGAAAATCTGATATTCGTTTTAAGAGGGGGTTGCAAAAACAAACAACGAAATCTTGAAATTTACTGGTCAAGTTTCTTTAATATCATGAAAGAAATCTTCAGGTGACTTTCATTTGTTTATGAATGAAATAAAAACAACGACACAATTCGATATCGCGTTCGCGGTTCATGTCTGTGCGGTATGTATAAAACATTATTTGTAACTGTAGTTTTGCGAATTGTTATATTTCAATTACAATATCTTAGTGAATCCTTCTTCGGTAATACATAATTAACAACAACTGTTGTTCCGTAATGTTTATTTACGTTAACATCGCCGAGTTTGCAATAAGTCTTTTTTTGTGATACAAAGTGACAATGACGTTACGAACAAATCGTACGCCTGTCCATAGATATTGCAGTGCCATTGAAGCTTTAAATCGCAAATATCTAAGTAGCACTGCCACTACGCCGGTTCCCCAGAAGCAATTCTGCTGCTAAAAAAGGTCCAGTGAAATTTCTCTTTTTTTTATAATATCAAGTGACGGGATGCACATGTCGAGAACCTGATGGTAAGCTACACGCCTGTCCATAACAGTTGCAGTGCCACTCAGAGCTTAAAATCACAAAGGTCTGAGGGGCACTGCGCCCGTCACCCTGAGACATAAGTTCAAGTACAAGACTCATGTGCCTGTAATTTCACTAGCACCTTTACCCTTCAAAACCGGAACACAGTACTGCTGACATTACCGCTTGGCGGCAGAAATAGGTAAGGTGGCAGTCCCTCTTTCACATGGAGCATTTCTATCAATCAAACGTAGCAAGCACACAGACTAATTTTATCCTTCCAAATTATCCCCCTTAGTAACAGCCGAAACTCATTATCAGCGTGTTTACATGCACACAATTGCATACAACCGTATTCGATAAGCGTACGTTGACTGCATTAAAGGTCATAGTGCCTCGTATCAACAATATTCACTCCTTGTTTACCAGTATTGCCATTTTTACGTTATTATAATTAATAAAAGGTATTGTTGACCTCTTCGCAAGTATATTACACAATGAACTTCATTAATATACGCAGAGTGCAAAGTTATGCGATGTCGTCAGCTATACATACTTAAAGCAGTGACAGCTACTCATAGCGCAACACTGAAATCTCAAAATTATAAACAGCTCATTGAGAGGCGTGTGTACAAAATCCCCCAGTTCGAACCACTTTTGCAACTCGTCTTCCACTTTTTTCGTTTTTAACTTTGTATGTCAAAATTTGCCCCAGATTAAGACGACGTCCACGCAGGAGGTGAAGTGTCTGATTGAGTCCTTGCTAATGAAAGTCGATTACCACCAAACAGAAAGTATAATTACGATAATGAACACACAACACACACACGCACGCACGCACGCACGCACGCACGCACGCAAGCACGCACGCACGCACGCACGCACGCACGCACACACACACACACACACACACACACACACACACACACACA